AAGAATCTCATACCTGCTTCATTTTTAACGAAAACCTTTAATAATGAATATGTAAACAAGTAATTGTACGTGAAAAGACTAGTTTATTATCAAATATCTTCATATGTTAACTCACAAATCGTCACTAATGGAATAATGTCATGTTTTTAATTCATTTATTCTTGTTGTAGGTTTTTTTTTTATGTTGAGTCACTGATCCTGGTTTACACCACCACCTGTTTAAAGCAAAAAATATTGTACAGATATGACTGTGGCACATTGAATTGTGGTTTATAAATGCCATTAAAAAAAGTCCTCACTCTTACCATGTTCTCTTTCACTTTGTCATTTTTTATTTTTTATTAATTGGAGCTGCAATGATTCGAAATGGATTAAAAAAAAGGGAACAACTTTAACTAAATATTTTGTAGGAGTTGAAAATGAAAGTTAAATTATTTTTAAAGGCCGAATCACTTCAGGCAAAATGATAATAAAAGGCTTTGGTAAATAGAGATTGACACGTTCTGTTTATTACCAGAAACTCAGGAGCATAAATCCACCTTTTGATGTTATAAATATCAATTATATTATTACATTATGTACATGATCTAAATCTACAGTTGTGCACCAGGAGGCTTGGAAATGTCACAAATAGCATCTAAAAATATATATGTGTATAAAACTGCTGTAATTTAATCAAATTCAACCAGAAACTTTAAAAAAATACACATTTAGTTGAGGACAGAATGAAACAGTTGGTAGAATAAGGAACAGTTCAGAGCTTGATGTATGAATATTAACTTCTAACTTACACGTTTTTAGAATAATTGAAAATCAAAACAAAGGTTTGTTCAGTGAAAATCTACTAAAGCAGATGCAACGTTTAGATTTGATCATCCTGGTTTCTTACTTTTCTTTCAGAACATTGTACAGCGGCTGAAAGATAGTAAATCTTTCTTACCTCTCGATGTACGTCTACGTCTCTTTGCTGCTACAAGCTTCCACCAGGGTTCAGATCTGTGACGCTGATCTTTGCGTCCCGCAATTTAAAATATCTACATTTATTATCCACATGTTGGGTTTTTAATGGGTTTTGTTCCTGAAATAAATAAAACAAATTCAATTGAATTGTTTAACATAGAATTTGGGGATAATCATCAGTTTGACTTTATATTAATTTACAGTTTGATCATGTGGTTCAGTGTCTTTTTTTATTTATTTATTTTTCTTCCTCCAGATTATCAGGTGGGCGGGGGGCCGTTGGTGTAATGTAACATGGGGTAGAAGGAGCGGGCGAAGTTGTTGCTGACGGTGCAGCTGGAGCTGCCCTCTGACAGTGGGATCAGACAGGGGAGCAGCAGGAGCAGCAGCAGGAGGAGGTGGAGGGGAAAGGCTGCGCGGAGGACTCGGTAGAAGAAGGAGCGAGGAGGTGGCGACTCCCTCTTTTCTCTGAAGGACACAGGAAACAGATACATGAAAGATCTGTTTGACGTGTTAACATGAGGAGTGGACAGACGCTGAACAGTAACCGCAGCCTTGAACAGAGCTGCTTTAATAAAAGGTTTCATACCTCGGAGTGGAGGAGCCTTCCTTTGAGTTCGCCGCCTCCTGAGAAACATCTGCTGCGACACTTTGGCCTTGAATCTCTGACGCAGATTCACAGTTCTGGATTAGAAACAAGACACAAGAAACAAATATCGCATAAATAAGATAGACTCTACATTTTATCATCACAAAGGCGTCTTTCTCTGCTGGTGGAAACGTTTCAATATCAGACTGACCTGAAGGCAGCATTTCAAAATAAGTCTCTTGTGATTCTCTCAGGAGGGCCTGAGTATCCCCGATTTTATTTTGAAATGACGTGTGAATCGAAATCAAAACTAAAGTCGTCCACAATTTCAGGACATTTACCAGTCGCTGCTGTAAGATGCTCAGATCTTGGTCCACGTCCTTCAGGAGCAGCTTCAGCTTGCTCCCCGTGACGTGCAGCTTCTCCTGGGCCTCTCCGCTGCCGTCCTCTCCGCTGCCGTCCTCTCCGCCGTCCTCTGGCTTGAGCTGAGACCACAGAGCCTGGAGCGAGGCCTGCTGAGTCTGTCGGCCCCGCAGCTCCTCCTGCAGATCCTGCAGACCACAAAGATGTCAGGAGGTTAAAGCACTTAACATCTGGATGAGAAGATCGATAGACTGATCCTGAGGCAAATTCAGGAGAAAGTCAAGATGCCGAAACTCAAACACTGAAAATCAGTAAAATCTAAAGTGAAGCATCGTGTCGATGACACGTCCTCTTACAGCGAGCGTGTAGCGGTGTTGTTGCAGCGCTCGGACAGATGTGTCCGGATCACTGATGTCCACTGTGTAGCGTCTGCTCTCAGCGTGGGCCAGCCACAGCAGCAGAGAATGGAGGGTTTCATGGAACTCCTGTACGGAGAAAGGTTAAAGGTCAATTAGCACCATGACCAAATCAGCAAAACTGTTTTTGTGTTTTGCTTTTGACGGTTGAGGAGCTTAACGAGGCTAAATGTGATATAAATACTATTATACATATTAAGTTTATATAAGAAGACCTTTCACACAGTATTTCTTTTCAAAATAATGAGAAATCTTCCTCTTTAATGCATCAAGTAAAAAGAAAGTCATTCCTCTTTTAAAGCACCACAGGACTGTCGAACTGTTTCCTCTCACCTGGCAGCGCATCAGAGTCTTCTTCAGTCCGCTGTCCCACCGCTGCAGAGCTGTGCTCACTCGGCTCCAGTCTCTGTTCATGTCCAGCAGCCTCTGCTGTAGTTCTGGAGCCTCCTGAGCTCTCAGGTTGACAGAGAGCATGATGGACTTGTAGTGAGTAAACATCCGCTGCATCTCCTGCAAGAGAAAACACACAAATATGTAGAAACCGACTGAGAACACTTGTTGTTGTTGTTGTTGTTGGCTGTGTGCTTGGTGGAGAAGTTTACCCTCAGTTCTCTGGCTCTTGCTTCCATGTCGGCAATGCTCGCCGCTGACTTGGAGAGCTGGAGGCGGTCCAGCTCCGGGATCGTGTTTTCTAACCAGGAAGTGAGGTCATCCAGGTCAGATCCGAGCTGTTGAGGCTCCTGAGAACCGGCATGCTGATCACTTCTGGACCGAGCCTGGAGCAGCTCCCAGCGTTCAATCACACCTGAGCGAGCACAAACATCCCCCATGTTAATCTGATAGAGGAATTCGTTTGTGTAGTTTTGTAACCAGAAACTCAAAATCCAAAAGCCATGTGTCCTGAGACTTCAGCCGTTAAAACCGAATCTGTCTTCAAGTGCTTTTCTGCAACTGGATCGTTCGTTGCTCTCACCTGACTGTTTGTCGGGGGCGGTCAGTCCTGTCAGACCGAGCTCCACCGGCTGGTCCTCGTCATCCAGGATCAGGGAGACTCTCTTGATGTCCTCGATGCTGCCGCTGCACTGAGACATGAGGCCGAGCTGCAGACACGACAAACTCCGTGACTACAGCAAACTGTCTGAGAGAGGATTACTTTCACATTGTCACAGTTAGTTTAACCATCTTGTTTGTTTTTTAACACTTACAAAGCCTCGTTTCACAGGCGTGCTGGTGAGGGCGGGTGCAGCCTCAGTGTCCGGGTGCAGCTGGAGAGTCTGTGTTTCTGTGTCTGTGCATGATCCCCATACTGGAGACTGGTGTACGACCACAGACCTGCTGGGAACTGAGACACAAACAAACACAGTGAATGTCATTGTACAACACCCTGTGCTGTGGTAACATCTCTTCTAGTCTTCGGGTTATAACTACGCCCTCTATAAAAATATCCACATTTAATTTCACTAGATCTGGATTTTTACTTGGATCAGCAAACATTTAGAAATATCAATCCCCTTCACACGTCTTATTTATTTAATAAGGATCCATGAATTACTCTCTGAGAGTTCTCGTAGTTCCCTCCCGGCCCAAACTACATAACTCCACCAGGTTTTGTTTGAATCCGTCCGGCAGTTTTTGCGTAATCCTGCTAGATAACAGACAAACGCAGGTGAAAACACAACCTCTTTAGCTGAGGGAACAAATACAGAAGGTTTAAACGAGTTTCTACGAGATGCTCGTGCTCCCGTTGGATGATAAGATTAACGAATGACTCCTTTGATGTCGATGTCTTGCATGTGCAAGATGATGCATGAAACCTGCAGATGATTATCAGGTTCGGAAAGTTGACTGAAAATCATCCAAAGACCTGAGCATTAATCACGCGCCACAGGAAATTGCAGAGCTTATCTAGTTATCTGTGTGGTGTAATTGACTTAACGCCGTATTTCACATGTAGAGAGAAAGTGAATCACCAACAAGATCCTCGCAGTGTTTAAATGATGAAAGCAGCTTTTGTTCCGTGAAATGAATAAAACAGTTAGAGGGTGATGGTGGCGGCGGAGACAGTGAAAAAGAGCGACACAAGTAGATAGAGAGGAAATTGGAGGAGGATGAAGAAGTTCACGAAGGGACACTTGACATTTGAAGGTGTTAACCACACGAGCAGAAACATGCTAATCTGTATATGTGGAAAAATAAAAATTCATACAAGCAAGAGCTGAAGAAAAAGGTCACGGTCGCCAAATTCAGTTTCCAACAAAACATGATGAATGCTGCCACTTTTTTGTCCAGTGAGTAAAATGTTTTATCGTCAGACAATATGAAAGTGCAGGGCGAGAAAATTCCTGTTTTGTAGGGAAATATAACTAATCTAATAAAATAATATGCTAAAAAAAAGGTTTTCAAAGTTGAGGTTCGATTTTATTATATCAGTTTCACAAAAATGTGTGAAAGAAAGAAAACTGGTAGAAAAGTTTTGAAAGATTTTTCCAAACACCAGGAAGAAGAAATTCTGTGCAGCAGCAAAACAAGCTGCTGGAAGAAATCTGCAGGAAATGAGTTTCACCTTGAAGAGTTTATATTTATTTAAGATTTATATTCAGAAAGTGAAGTTAGTTCGAGTCTCTGGGGCTTTAAATATTCTCCCTCTGGCTCTCAGTCCACTCCCCCTCAGGGACAAGGCTCTCAGAGTTTGTGTTCGTGTAAGTACGCGTGTATTTGGATATTAAATATTGTAATTTATTGGACTTAAGGGTAAGGGGAGGAATTTTAGTTGATAACTTCCTCTGTTTGCATATCGTGTAAATGTACCTGACAGAGCACTGAAGTAAACTCCCTCCTCGTCTTGTTCCTCCTCCTCCTCCTCATCATCATCCTCATGTGACGACGAACCTCCCACGTCCCCGGTGTGGTCCCACTCCAGAGGGAGGGAGTCCACGCTCGCTGGCGTCTCGCGGCCCGAGCGCTCCAGCGAAGAGGCCAGGAGGTGGGTGGGTGTGGCCGGGAGGCTCCCAAGGCTGCGTCCGAGCCACGGCCGACCAATCAGCTCCAAGCTGGACTCCAAGTAGAAGCTGCTGCCGGAGAGTTCAGGCTCTTCTTTGATTATCTGAAGCAGAGAAGCAACATGAGATTGGCTGTGAACTACTTTGTGAATCAGTGTGTGATTCCGTTGAAGAACTGATCTGTGATCTGTGAAGTGAGGACACGTCAGTGGGTTTCACTTGAAAGGGATGGTTTTAGATTACGCTGCGATGTTAAGTTTGTATGAAGGTCACATCCGCATTAGGATTAAGTTAAAGTTGAAATGGGACAGTGCATTATCCAAACATCTGTTGGTCTCTGTATCTGCAAAGCAAGCTTAGAGAATACTTCATGAGCTTGTGATGTGTGGAAATCAGTAGAAGAATAGCAGCAGGGAGATTTTCTGATTTCACATATTGCGTAAATTAACTTTTCCGTGACAAGGAAATGCATCTGTTCGTGTGCTCCAGCTCACCGGGGGCTGGCTGAGGCGCTGGTGGAAGCGGACCAGTCTGCTGAAAACCTCCTGGCAGTACGTGTGCAGCTCCTCCAGCTCGTCCTCGATCAGCGCCGCATCCTGCGGGGAGCTCTTCTGGATCAGGCCCTCTCCAAACACGATCAGCCCGTCGATGCGCTCAGTGTTCAGGGAGATTTCTTTCTGGAAGCTCTGGTTGTGGGAACAGAGACCAGAGTCGGGAACATGAGGAGAGGGTTTCATAAAACTAAACACAAGTAGTTTCTGCAACAGCGTCCGGTTAATGAGCCGGAAGAAAAGCTTCCTGAAAAAATTACTCGGATTCAAATTGAAGCCAGGAATAACATGCAGCCGAAAGACGTGAGCACAAAGACTGAAAACATCTCCTCCAAAATGAGTTCATGCTTGTAACGAGGAGAGTTTGTCCAGGAAATACACTGAGGAGAGATTTTTCGTGCACAATGAGCGTGACCTGCAGTTTGTGGCCTGTGTAAAAACCAGCGTCCTCACATTGAGCTGCTGTATCTTGTGATGGACGTCGCTCTCTGAAAAGTGTTCCACGTTGGTGAGCTGCAGGTCGAGCTCGGTCAGCCACACCAGCATGCTCTCCCTGGTGCCTTCAAAGTCCTCCCTCTGGCTGGTGAAGTACTGAGAGGGAGGAGGGAGATTTATGTTTAATTCATTTGTATTGAAATGGAGGAAGTGAGCAGGAGATCATTTTACACCAAAACAACGTTAATATGATAAACTCATTAATTCGATTTATCAGAGGATGTAAATATATATGTGAATACTGAATACGACAGGTGTAGAGGGTACTCTACCTTGAGCCTGCGGAGGACGGCAGCCACTCTGCGGTACAGGGTGTCCCAGCGCCGGTTGCCCTCATGGACCATGGCTTTGAGCTGGCTGGCCCGGTCGGTGCGGTTCTCCCGGGCCAGACGCCGATACTGGTTGTTGACGATTTCCAGTTGAGTCAGTCGCTCGTGAACCTGCCTTTGGAAACCCTGAAACACACAGAGGCATCAGGAGGAACCATCGACTTAGAGAACATATAGAAATGATTTCTCCAATTAGGAAATCTTTGCTGACACACAAAGGTTCATTATGTCAAAAACCCTTCAAGTCTGATTAAAGTCCCGTATAATAAACAGAGCAATGAATATGTTTCACTTTGAAAAACAAGCAACCAAACAAAGAGACTTCGAGACTTTCTCCTCTCCCAACTGACCTCGAACTTCTTGAGCTCCTCTTTGGCGGCAGTATAAAGGACGCCTGCAGAGTTGGGGTTGGCAGCGGTGCGCTCAGCCATCTTCAGCCAATCCTCAAAGCGAGAGTAGTCGTCGAGGAACTTGCACCAGAGCCTCCAGGTCTCCTCGATCCTACAAGGACACATCGTACCGGATGTTGTGGAGGGTTTCTGTGACTCTGCAGCTTTCAACTCTTCTCGTCAAACAGTGAATTCAAACTTTACGTTGATATAAAAAACTTATCAGACAGATTTATGAGAATAGAAAGGCTGTGATGCATTCGAGAGCTTCAGACCAGCTATGAAACTTGACTGTTCTGTGCAAGAGTCATTTACATTTATCATCTGAGCAAAGGAAACAACAAAGATCCCAGGAGTAAAGTCATTCCGTCTTCAAACAGATGCAGACTTCAGGGTGTGCACTGATCCGACTGGAACATGAATCCGTCTCCTACCTGAGCCTCCTGTCCAGAGCCATGGCACAGATGGTCCTCCAGCGCTGGTCCAGGCTGCGGCTGGTCTCCTGCAGGGAGTCGCTCTCCGCCTCAGTGGCGCCAGCAGCATCTTCGTCCCGCAGCAGAACATCGCACAGACTGAGCACTGATGCGACTCCCTCCGTGTGCTGCTCTATGTCCCTCTGCAGCTCCTGGACACACACATGGACAGACATGGTGTCCATGCCACAGACGTCATGTATTAAACATCAGACCACAGACAGGGGACAGTGGAGTGTGTCACTGCAGGAGACCACCACTCCCAAAGTTAAACAAAGGAGGGACGTAAATTATTAATCATAAACTGGGACAAAGAGTGAGAGGGAGAGAGAGACAACCAGAAAAAGAAAAAGTAAAAATACAGATCAAAGAAACGTGGCAAACTGAAGAACTACAAAAATGAAAAAGGCAGAAAGAAAAAAAGAAAGAAAGGAAACGGTAACAGTGAAATTGCCATCGACAGCTGTGAATTAGTGTCCGTGCGTCTACCTGCTGCTCGGCCAGCCTCCTCTGGATCTCCTGATGGTGACAGACGCTGTAGGTGATTGGTCGGGAGAGTTCGGCCTCGATTCTGGACAACCAGGAGCGCAGGTTACTCATGTTCTTGTCCAGCTGCTGCACCGTCACCAGTGTCTCCCTCAGCTTCTTCACCCTGAAACACAGAAGTCCAAAAACAACATGAATTACTGAGTTAATAATTAGGACTGTGAGAAACATCACTGCACATTTACCAGCATCAACCTGTTTTAATGTTGGTGTTAATTATCTTAAACGTAAAAAGGATTAAGTGTGAAAAAGTTTCTTTTGCCTTTCGTCATTTGACTTAAAGTGACTTCAGTAAGAAAGAAAGAAAAAGAACAAATGGAAGAGAAAGAAAGAAAGAGAGACTGAAGATGGAGAAAAGGTATAAATAAAAGGAAAGAGAGAAAGAAGAGAATAAAATAAATGATAAAAGAAAATAATGAAAAGCAAAGAAAAGTCAGAGAAAAGAAAACAAGGATGTAAAGACTAAAGAACGAGACAGAAACTAAAAACCTTTAGCTTTTCACAAGCCTGCTACTGTCTCAGGTATCTTGCAAGTAGCACTTCTAAAGTCTCCATGGAAACTGACCTCCTTGTGAGCGCACACACACACACACACACACACACACACACTGGTGTCATAGCAACGCCCGGGACAATAAAAGCTCTCTCCAGAGGCTTAAAGGCCTCTGAAAGCGTGCCCCGTTTGGGAGTTTGAGTTAATTTCCCTCGGTTGATCCTTCCTCTGCTGTCGAGGTCCAGACGAGACGCTCGACCAACGAAATAAAACGCCCTGAAAGCAGCTGTGAGTGTCAGCGGCAGGATGAGGAGGGCGTCCTCACAGATGCCCGAGTGTGTGTGAGTGTGCATGAGCGAGGACCCTTTGAGATCAGGTCCAGAAATTAAACAGGAACAATATTTGTCATTTCCATTAATTCGTTTTCAGGGTATTTTATCACCACGTTTATGTTCATGTACGAAAACAGCTTTTTCTCAACGTGCGTCTGTAAAAGCAAGTATTTAAAACTGTTGAAAAATTGAAAAAATACTTGTACTGAGAAAGAAGTTATAAAAACTCATCTTTTTAAAAAGAAAAAAACAAAAAGGTTGCACCGTGTTTGTGGTTTTACAAAAACTCTGGTGTCGCTCCAGATGATAGTAATCCCGTGGTGGTGATATAGAATAATATACAGTATCAGTGGACGTCTGTGTGTGGTTCATGTGTCCTCGTGTTTTACAGCCATGTAATTAAGATATAATACAGTCACTGTAAATTCTGTCCGGCAAACACTCACTGCAGAAACAACAATCCTCTTCAGCTACATTCTCCTCCTCCCTTTCGCTCCCTCTCTACCTCTGACAGCCGAACAAAGGCCAGCAGCTTCACGCGGAGGCCAAACAAAGAGACAAAACCACGTCAGGGGTCCGAGCCGAGGAAAAGGACAAGAGGAGAGCGGACGGAGAGAGCTGAGCGGAAAGGACAGAGAGGATAAGTGAGGATATACGGATGGACGACAACGTTAAAGTGCAGCGGTCCACGGGGGGGGCTCGGAGTTACCCGCACACTAAACTTTACTGCTCATGGGAGTACATTTATTATACAATACATATTATTATACTGGCGTGGTTACAATCTATAATCTGAATTTATAGGAATTTAAAGGGCTACCATGCTTTCAGGAAAACATCGTCCACTAAGACATTTTAAAGAAATTTAAAAAGCAATAATTGGTCCGAGCTGTGCCCTCGCAGCTTGTTTTGGAGTTCGTGCACCTCCTTGTGACCACGAGTTAATGAATGCAGCTTTAATTAGACGGTTGCTCTGAGAACTCCATGTTAAAGAATCCGGGGATCTGCTCGTTAATGCGGATCCACTCCAAAATGTAATTGGTAACTAATTAGTTAATTGGCAGAGGTAATAATTAAGTAGTATTTTAATTTATGTAGCGAATTTCAAGCCATTTTACTGATGCCATCGACTTGTACTGTGGTTGATAATACTTGTTGTTGGAATAAACTTTGTTATCACTGTGGTTATTTCGTCACCTTCTATCATTAGTGATACTGTTACTGTCGTACTTTAACACTAAGGTTTATGTCTCACTGGCTCAGAGTAATTCCAGTTTCTAGCTGCGATTGTTCTGCAGCCAACACAAGTTTATCAACAGCAGACCCAGAGAAGGTTGCTTGTGTTGCTCTCTTGAATTCAAATATACCAACAGAAATTGTAACCTGCCTATTTTCCTACAGACCAGAGTAAATCGCAGAACATCAAGAATCCAGGGCGACGCTGCTCCGTTCTTATCCTGGATGGGATCAAGGCCCCTGAAATCTGCACATGGACCCCACTTTGAGAATTAGTGATTAATGCATGCCGACAGATCCCTCCCCTTCCCTCGCCAGCCCCCCCGCTCCTCGTTCACAGCATCAGAAAGGGGGAGGGGGGGGGGGCGGGGAACGGGGACATATGGTGCTGTCTGAGACTTAAGCACATCTCTTTTTTATTTAATGCTGGTGGGGACAGACTGGGTGTGCAGGGTTCAGAGCGAGGGCTGCATCTCCTGCTCCTCCACAGGTCCATCTGTCTGAAGGGGGGGTCGGGGGGGAGGCAGTAACTGTTGATCGTCACGAGGGGTTTAACCTCTACAGTCGGTACATTAGAGAACATGTAGTCCTGACAGCTGCAGGAACACACAACAGCAGGTGGATGGACTCAGAGCTGTTGTTTAATTACGGGCCATCGGTGCTGATGCATTTTAATGCAGGATTGTAATTTGCTTCGCACGCTTGAATTTTTATCGTTTGTCTCTGAAAAGTTCTTCTCAAGGAGCCCAGTCGATACAAATACACACACATGCAAGTTATTGGGGCAGGACATCGCTCCTGTCGCTCTCACCTGGCTTCGATGTGGTGGAAGAGGTTGTGCCAGCGCTGGTTGACCTCCTGCAGTGAGCCGTGGACCTGGGTCTGCTTGGCCTCGTCACTGGCCAACAGCAGCTGCTCCCCCAGCTGCTTCAGGTGGCTCTTATTCTCACTGAACAGGTTGATTTCCTCCATGCAGTCCTGCGGAGACATGTCTTAAACTTCAAATCCAATGCAAGAAGCATACAAAAAGTTAGCCGCGTGTTTTATCTTCAATTTGGCCGAAAAGATGAGAAATAAGTCTTTTATTTTTGTCTCATCTGTTTCACCTTAAATTGACAAAAATGTGGATTCCACTTTCACATTTCTACTTCTCAGTATCCAACATCAGTCGGACATTTGATTTTCTGCCCAGGAACAGTCTGTTCTCACCCAGAAGTTTCATATTCAGCTCAATGAAGAGATCAAATCTAAAGTTTGGGTTATAGGGAAGTAAAGTATTTAGTCCCTGTTCAATCTGTAATCCTCAGATGGAGTTGTTTAACTCTACGATTAATCGACTCTGTCTAATTCTCTCATCTCCTCTGACGGCACGAACCACCGATGTTTATGTAATGTTCAACCTGATTCTCATCTTGTTTACTAGATGAGTTTTGTTCACGGTGACACAGGAAGGTACAAAAGGCTCTCAGTCACTGGAAGGACTGTAGTGTGTGAACAAAGGGCACGCAGCCATTCCATTCCAGGCCACCATCTGTTATATAAAAGCATAATGCATGTTGCTCATGTATGGATTTTAATCAGTCCTGCACAATGCTACCCTCTACATCAGGGGGTTGATAGTAACATGTACAGACTGTGTTATGAAGTGATTTTAGAGCTGTAATATAAGATTTAATTCCGCAGCAATATTTTAATCCTCAAAATTCCATTCAAAAAGTAATGTCACTCTAACCACTGCTCACAAAATACTGAGAAATAATCTATTCATAGGATCCTCTGTCGGTGTCAGAGAGCTGTTTATCTGTTCCGTTCCACAAAGCCTAATATTAAAATACAAAAGATTTTAATATTTGGTAGATCTCGTACCTTCTTCAGCTTCTCCACCATCTCCTCAATGCTCAGATCGCTGTTGTGGCACACCTTGTTCTCCATCTGAGTCAGCCAATCACAGAACTCTTTGTTCTTGTCGTTGAAGATGGTCCAGGCATTCAGGCGGTCTGCGATTTCTTGCTTGTGCAACGACACCTGGAAAAATCAAGGCAGACAAAACAGGTATTAAGACAAAATAATACGAATGAATTATTAGAACGCAGATAATTCTGGGTTCATATATAAGATTCTGAACTCGTAAAGTGATGGTTGTGAATAAAAACTCTAAAGTTTGTTGCTGTAAATCAACTTTTGTGAACCTGTAAAATAATTCTGTGTGAATGTTGACCCTGTTTTCAGACGTCAATCTGATCCGATTGGAGAGAAGGTGGGTCCATTACCTGAAAGCTAATGTAGATTTGTAATAAATCATTTGATATTTATTTTCTACAGCATCGTCAAAAAATAATTAAACCACCCGGTGTCATGGAAGAGCCTTAATACTAGTGCTTGGATTTATGTAATTAAAATAAAGGCATTGAATTGAAAGGTTTTGAATTATGATGCTGTACGACTACATGTTATTAACACTCACAGCAGCTTCACGCAAGCGAAAACAAAGGATCTGGTTCAAAGTCCACAACGAAACACAATTTATAGTTTTCAAAAGAAACCATGAAACTGACGGGTCTTTACAACAGCTCAACAAATGTTTTTCAATTACAACAGTCGGTACTTTCTCTGACAGATTTACGACAGACGCGATGGGAACAAGTGCGAGGTAAAAGGTCTTCGCTGTTTAACGTGGAACAAAAGCTTCAGAGCAGCGGTGCCAAAGACTTTGACGAATTTCAGTCCAGTGTGAAAGAGGGTTATTTGTTATGATACTTCCTGGTTTGCGTCCAGGAAACAATGTGACCCAAATCTGACACAACAAAGCATTTTGTAGACTTGAACTCGGTGCACGGCTGCATGTGAGAAATGAGAAGGTATAAAAATATGTTTTAACAGTGTAGAGAAGAATCAAATACTGTAAAACCGCCTGAATATGAAGTGTTTCCTCTTAACTACACTGAAGCAGTGGGGACATTTAATCTATATCAGAATCCGTAATCATCTGAATTGAGTGAAATCCCCACGAGACTCTGGATCGTTGATAAAATTAACAAAGTCCATTTTCCTAATGACAGCTTAATGCTCTGAAAACACCCCATTACACAGCTGGGGAGGGGGCTGGTGGTCGTGGCGAGCACACAGGGCACGTTTCAACCAGCTATATTTTACTGTTCACTGGCATTTATTTGAATTAAATGAGCTCTACTTTTGGTTGTAATGTACTGACACCACCGGGCCTTTTTCTGAGAATTTAGGGAGCATTGTGAGCGGCTGTCACCCCGTGAGGACTTTGTGCTTCCCCGGGAACAATAGAGTCCGTCCCCCTGAATCCCTTTAGACCGGCCAGGCCATCTGCTCGGACCCATTCCAGTGGCTTCCCCCACCTACAACCTGTTAGCTCAACTGGTGTAAATAACCCGCGGTGACTGCAAGAGATTTCTTTTACAGGAAATCGTCACTTTTTAAGTTTGTCTCTGAATTGACATGTCATGAAAATAACACCACATACGAATACTATAAACATCTACAGTAAACCCAATGACTGGACATCCTGGCAGCTACTCCTGCATCTGTGGATCCCAGTAACTCCTGCCAACCCAGAGGAAGGAGGAGGCAGCCAGGCAGAGCGGGGGACCCAATTAGCACAAGTGCAAATTATCCCACAACCCCGATAACTAATGAAAAATGACCCGAGCTCGTCATAACCGTCGGATTCTCTAGAACAAGAGAGCATTTATGTTTAAGCCCTGTGGTCTTAACTGTAGGAATTTGAGCCTGTGTATGAAGGCTCGAATTAAATGCCTGTAATGTTCTGCTGAGTTTCATGTGATTTCTTACGCACTGAGGCTGAGCAGGAGATTTAAGTTTAACCTTAAAAAGCCATGAAGTGTATGACGATTTAGAAAAATGTTTGAAATAAACTGGAATTGGCTTCATATTTTTGTTTAATCAAACGAGCACAAAGAGCTTTTGTAGAAAATGCTTGCAGAGGATATGTTAAGAAAATTAGATTTGACCTGCAGGGAGGCGAGTTACTCATGTTTTAACAATAGAGCTAAAAGAGGTTTTCCCTCCATGATCCTGCACATGCTGGTTCTTTTCTCACACAAATGAGCGTGTGTGTGTGTGTGTGTGTGTGTGTGTGTGTGTGTGTGTGTGTGTGGTGCACAGGCTTTGTGCTGCTGGTCACTGCCAAGAAAACCGCTAGTAGCAACTTTTCCCTCCTTCTCTCCCTCTGTCTCCAAAACTCCACCTGCACCAGCTTCGATCTCTCACCTTCTCTCGTTTGATTGCATCTCTCTCTCTCTCTCTCTCTCTCTCTCTCTCTCTCCATCTCACAGACACACACACACACACACATATAACATTTCGATATCTATCATTTCTCACCTTCATACAAAGCTCTTCCCATTGACCGTGGAGTTGTTCCAGCTGCTGCTCCAGCAGAGTGGAGTCACCAGCCGTGATGTACTGGGACAGGTCTGTCTTCATGGTTCCCAGTTCCCTCAATCCACTGGTCAAACACTGCAGAGAGAGCTCCGTCCCCTGCATAACACACACACACACACACACACTTCAACACCCAGTCACACGGCCATATATACGAGCTGTGCGTCCACGCTCCTCCACCTTTTTCTTGCTCGCATTTGCTCTGACTGTCCAGATTAAAGGGCTGTGGACGGGACAGGGGGAGGGTAAAAGGGGTAGAAAGGGGGAGGGGAGTGAAAGCATGGGGGTATTAAATAAGGGAAAGGGGGGCAAACTCAGAGGCTCTCTAATGGGACACGGGGGGGGTAGCTACTGATGGAGCTGAGGGGTGGGGAAACTATTCCTCCAGATTCATGCTGATGAATGTTGTTGGGACATTTATGACATTGTTATGTATTAATGTACAATTAGAACTAATTGTTAATAAAACTACCTCAAAATCAATACTTGACTTTGTTTAAGTACAATTTTGTGAGCTCAGTGTCGTCAGTGGTAGCTACTGGTATTATTTTAAAATCAAGGATTTCTAGTTCTGTGCTGGCTGGTTTTTATTTGATCTTATTATCTCAGTAAGACATGAAGCTGGATGATGATGGGACATAAAAAAATGTTGCCTCAAGTCAAATTCAACATGATAAAGAATTCTATTTTTTAGATTTATTTATATAGATATTTAATTTAATTATACATATTACTCATTAACAGGTGTTTAATGTTTAATCACCTGAATGAGCTTCTCTCTCTCAGATTCCTCTGGTGTTTCAGGCAGCTGCTGCTTCATCCTGGTCTTCACCTCCTCCAGCTCCGACATGATGCCGGTGATTCTGTCCTGACACTGAGACCACTTCTGAAAAAAAACAACAGGACGCAAACTTGAAGATCTCACAAGTGCGACTCTCCACCAACACTGTTTACCCCTGAAACTCCAAGAGTGGACTCAAACAACGTCCCCCCCATTTTTGGGTGAACTACCCTCTGATCTGTGACACTCTTTTCTTTTCCCTGCTGGATCCTGTTTGGAGCGAGGTGGGTTAACACAAGTTTCCCCGAACTCTCTGGACACAGAAAACACCCAGATGTTTGTAATTAACACAGCTCATGAGGCAAAGAGGAACTTCTGAGATTCAGCCACGATCGAGCAAAAGCTCGGAGCCAAAAAAAAAGAGCCACGAGAATACGATGAAGATATCAGTCATGGTCTGAATGGTTACAGTTCTGTAATATATCAGCGGAGCAGTGTAGCAGTGATGGGATGAGCGGCGAGAGACACGAGGAACCTGCTGAGCCTGGATGTGGATCATGGACGGATTTGAGCTGCTCTTTGATCCCTGTTGGCAGGAGCTCAGTGTCAGGGCAACACACCAGCTCCTGTGTGTGTTTGTTGGGGAAGAATCAAATCCTGGATATGGGTCATTCAAAGCTTAATGCAACAGATTTATTGGGCTCTAAATACATAAAATAAATCGTTTGACTCTGGTGAAATGTTAAATTGAAGTAAATAATAATCAAAAATAATAAATACTGTCACCTGAGCAGTTGTGTTAAGCAGGTCTTGGTTCCTCTTCTGCAGTGTGTTGGTTCGGTCCCAGTTCCCTTCGACGGACTGGAGCTCTGAGTGAAAATTACGCCGACACGGAAACTCTGACATGTTCTCACACAAACGTCTGCCGGCCTCCAGCATCTGGTTGTACACGGGAGAGTGCAGATCCAAAGCCTCTCCAGCACACTTGGACAAACGAGAGAGGCTGGTCCATTAAATTCATCACACAGATGCAATCTCCTCAAAAGAAATGAGACTTTCAGAGGAAATGAGCTACTTCCTCCTGCTCGACCAATCACCAGTCAGTCTCAGCTGTTTGTATTTGTGTGATTCAACCATTTATTTACCGTAGTTTTACTTCCTTTACTTGAATTTAAGTTCTGGAAATTATAGAGTGGAAATAAACTGTCATCCATGCTAACCTGGCAATCGACACAGCTGATAGGAGGAGCGCCAAGGAGGGGCAGCAGAGGATCAACTTCCATCAACAGCTTCGACAGGATTTTAAGTCCAAGCTGGTAGATGCTCCGAAGTCTGAGCTGCTCTTTCACCCAAGACCTGCGTTGTCCAACCAGAGCGATGGCACCGAACCAGCTCTCCTTCAAACTGGTCACTTGTGCTATGAGCTCATCTCTGCAAAAGAAACAAGAGTGAAGTTTAAATGGGGGGAAAACGACCATATCTCTGTCTGCAGACATGTAAAGATTTCAATTTGAAGCAGGAGATGAGTTAAAAAAATAAATGAATGTGATATTAGATTCTTTTCAAAATGAAACTCAGCTGAATATACTTTCTTTGCAAAAAAAATAACATAAACTGGTAGAAGTAATAAAAATAAATATATATGTCTCTGTCAAATGTTATTCACAGGCAATTGCTTCAACAACACAAAATCAGCAGTTTTTTAAGACCGTCATAAAATCTAAAGTAGCGATCCCAGCAGGGGGAACAGAGAGAACTTTCCCTTGGATGCCTTTAAAAAGATTTAAGAGCCATCCAAGATTTCCACACGCTGCAAAAACATGATTTAGGGAAGCATCTCGGAAAAAGAAATCGAGCTGTTCCAGAACAGGAAACACCTGCAGTGCACAATCAGAATGTGGTTATGTATCAATTTGCACCGAATACGTGTGAAGACGAAGGAATTTAGCTGGAAAACCTAAAGTCTAATTACTTTATAAGACAACACGGTGGTTCACTGACTTAAATAGATAAAAGAGAGATCACTCTGCAGGGTTTGTTCTTAAAGCAGAGACTGAATAACAACCTTTATTCCCTCTGGTTTAGTTTCTGTTACAGCCCCACAGAGGCTTCGGTTATTCATTCCAACAGATGCAATAACAGTTTACTTGTCCAGTTCTAACTGTGCCATGACACAACTTTCAATAAAATATATATGAACCTGTCGTAAAATTCTTCATAGACTTCTCGATGAGATCTCGTAAGCGATTTAAACTTGGTGATGTCTCTTTCAAATACTCTCTACAACTGTTCTAGTTAAACTAGAGGATGTGCGTAATTGGATTTAATTAATTTAATAGCTTCATTTGTATTAACTTCATACAGTTGAAGGGACGAACTGGGGAAAACTGGGGAGGAAGAAGCTTTTTCGTTGTTGCACATGATGTATATATTAGTATTTTCCAACTTAAAGCTCAATAAAACTTTTTTACAAAACATTTAAACTGATTTGTACAATATTAAATGATAATTTCACGCCTGGAAATATGTATTTACCACTTCATGACTTCTTCTCCATATCTCACATGTACCTTTTCCCTCCTGTTTCCTTGTCCATGGTCTTGACTGCGTCGCAGAGGAGACTCTGCAGAAGCTGGTGTCCAGTGATTATTTCAGCCTGAAGCCTCTGCTCACATAAATGAAAACAGCAGGAGAGAGAACACAGTGATCAAGTATTTGTGCTGATGACGTCATTAACTTCCTCCAGGCTAAATGGACAAATATTTCTTTGTGGACACGCTCGTCATAGTAACGAATGGGCAGTTTATAGATTACGTTAGAGTCTGTGGATGTAGGGGAGGGAAACGATTCATCACAAATAAAATGTTAAATCGCACGACCATTTCTGGCTGCTGGGTTGCACATAAACCTGTAGTTGATATTCCCCGAAAAAGTTTTTAAAGTTGTGTTTGATACAAGTCGGGCTCCTGTTTCTCAGACACTAATCACATTAATGTTTCTGTACCTGATGAACGGTCAGGATCTCTCGGAGGCTGGAGAGACTTTCAAGTTCTACGAACATTAATTCCTCGACGAGCTTCTCCTTGATGTGAGTCAGGTTCTCACACTTCTCCTGAAACGTCTGGGAACTCTGACGCTCTGCCTGCAGCTCTCTGGGGAAAAAATAACGACTTTCACACAAGATGCACATCGTCTATCTTTGAAGGAGACACACAGTTCTTCACAAGAACACAGGAAATACAAAGTGTTTGCACAAACACATATAAAATGCATCAGACGTTTCAGCACAATACATGTACACGTAGTCACTTTGTTACCTGTTCATGTCAGATGTGCAGGTCGTGCTTTCGATCCACTCCCTGCTGAGCACGTGCAGTCGGTCTGTGTCCTGGTCGTTCAGGGTCAAATAGTGACTCATCTCCCTGACGTCAACCAGTAATGGAAACAGATCACTGAGCTCCGAGAGAACCTGCTGTACATCCAAGAAATTGTAAAATCACATTTTTAGCGTATGGCCCAACAGTCAAAACATCTGGTTTAATCCAATTCATAATGTCCAGTGAAAACTCAATCATGGGAAACAACAGGGGATGGTACTGACCTCCGCAGAGCCTTTGTCCTTCAACCCAGCATTTACTTTATCTTTTATGCTCCGAGTCTGTTCAAGAGTCTGCAGACAAGTGTGGAATTGTTCCTGCTTTTTCAAATCCTCCTGCGTGTACGGGGAGAGAAGTTTAACAGACTCGATCAACACGGATTTGTGAAATTTGAACAGTAGCTAACGGAGCTCAGGTGATATTCTGACACATTTTCTCACCTGAAGACAAATCCTTTTTACTGACGTTGCACCGCTCAGCAGCAGGTCGATCCAGATCAGGTGTTTGGTCTCTGACTTAATTAAATTTGCAGCCAGTGGATGCAGCCGTCCAATTAGAGGCTCGGAAGCCTTCAGCACATCGGCCGCGCTTCTTTGCATGTTCTTAGAAATATCCTGCATCTTCTGGTGACACAAATGTGAAGGAACAAAACAGAATAAGTAATGAGTGAGGACCACAGTAGATTAATACCATATAATAAAATCAGTCTATCGTGAGCAGTGTTCGTTTGTAATTAACTGAATTTAATTTCACAGATTTCCCTTTTTTCCAGCATCTTTCCAACTGTTTTCCATCAAACTACCTTGAACGTAACAGAAGATGTTTTTTTCATCTCAAAAAACAGAAATTTTTCTACAAATGGATCTGACTCAACTTTCTCAAAATACACCTGCCTGTTTACTTTTGAAGTGCGCACAAATGGAAAAAATGACATGAGTGGAAACACTGATGCTTGTTTTGTTGCATTTTTTTTTTTTTTTGCTCTGAATGTTGAAAACAGCTCGTAATGCAGCATTCTGGCCCCGAGCATAAGTACAACAGATCAGGTGTACGAACGAATTTGCGGATATTTCTGACCATGAGTGGACGCTGGCTGTTCCTTTGCAAGAACATGAGACCAGTCGCAGAGAAAAAATAATAATCCAATTACCGGAACAGGATGAATTAAAGAGAGAATTTCAACAAAACCAGAAATTTGTTCCAGTCCAGCGGCTTAAAATGTTGTTTGTGAGCTCTAAATAAACAAGTCAGTGTTGATGAGCTACGTTATTTATATAAAAATATAATATATTATGTTAAAATATCAATCAGTATTTTAAATAAAGCGAGAATTCAGCGTTAAATCACCACTCAGGGACCTTCATGCAGCAAATGTGAATTTTGCTCACCTCCACTGAATGAACCGTGGTTTTTGTGTCTTGTTCAGGTGACGGTGAGGACGTTAACAGCTCCTCCCACTGGCACCTCAGGTGTTGCATGTGAAGGGAGCAGTCACCAAAGAGACACCGGTACTCCTGCCACAAGGAAACCGTCTCTCCAGTCTTCACGTGCTCGTCCTTCAGCTCCTGGATCAGGCTCTCCCACCTGACACGGCCACACAACACGTCACACGTTAGAACTCACACTGTGCATGTACCTCGTGTGTAGAAGTACCAGATAATCAGATAATAATTAACTGGTTTTAAAAAGTTATATTGAGCTTTAAAGTTGGATAATTTAAATTGACAATTTCCTTTTCCTTTCATTTTGAATTCAAGTCACTGACAGTATTTTCCCCTGTGACTAAGCTACTGACCGTTTCTTCTCCCCTTCGACTTGGTCGCCTAACGCTTGTGCTGCCCCACAATGAAGATTCTTTACGAGACCCTGGAATGACATTTCCACGGCTGCCCAAAGCTCTTCTCCTTTTTCTACCTTCCCTTGGAGTTCCTGCATCAAGAAAAAGAACAGAAAACACATTTCATTCATACCTAAGTTTGGGAACTGAAAAGAACTTGACATTCATCACTTCGTGTCGAAACAAAATAGAAGGGCTTTTATTTTGCACAGTTACAGCTGCAGCAAAAAACATATCTTTGATTCTTTTTCTCGTGGCATAAAAGCATCAATTTGCTTTTGCTGGAGAGGACATTTGGATTAATGATGATCATTATGATATATTATTATTGAAGCCTGTATTTTCACAAAGCATGTGTAGGTGCAAGACATCACGGTCAGAGCTTCTGCTCACCTGCAAGACGTCCATGTGTTCCTCCGCCTGCTTTAGCGAGAACAGAGGAGCTGGCTGATGCTGCAGAGCACAACGCACCTCGCCGGCATGAAGAGTCACCTCCCTCAGGTCTCTGTCGAAACAACTCCACTGAGCCACGGTGCGTTGAAGAGCTGGTTTCAGAGCCTCCATCTACACACGACCACAGAGGAGCAGGGTTTTAAATGCAGCTTCATATTAAGAGAAATAAAAAAGCACTTTCCTGTTGGTTGGTTTTGATATTAAGACGTGTAAAAAAAATACTGGCAACAATACCACGATTGTTTTTGTTGTAGATTGTCTATTCATACTGGGACATTCACAGGTCAGTATGACTAGAGTCTTATTTTTGGTGACCTGGAAGTGTTTAAGTTGAATCTTGTCTCTTTTTAAGATAAATAGTCTATCGCTTGCTAGTTGTTCCACCACTAACCTTGCTTATTAGAGTTTCACACTTGAAAAAGCTGAATACTGCAGCTCAAAACAAGTAGTATATGTAGTTTATCCGAAATCCTCTTGACAAATAGATCCACTCTATATCAGACAGGTGAAGTCTTTGGCTACTACTTGTTTCATCTGCTGAATGGATTCACGATTACACCAGCAGATTTATTTTTACCTGTTGACTGAGGTCCTCACAGGCTTGACTAACGCTCTCTGCCTGCTTCGAGAAAGCGACGTCACAGGGATGCTTCTCTTCTTTCTCAGCATCCACTCGTTTGGTTTTCAACTTCTGCAAAGCTGCAGCCTTCTCCTTCGCTCGGCCTGCAACAGCCTGCAAGAGAAATCAGACTCGTGTCACGTCTGAGGACAGAATCCTGTGCGGCACAAACACGAACCTGCCTGCTTCCTGTCACCGTACCTCCCACTCTCGCAGAGCCTTACGAGCCAGAGTTTGACTTGTTGGCTGTTCCCACTGACTCAGCTGCTTTTTCTTTTGCAGTATCCATCGGTGAAGCTGCTGTAACTGTCTCTCTCTGACCGCACAGGTGTGATGCATCTGTTCGGCTCCGTGAATCTGTGGGAGCAAAGACAAACAGTAAGTCATCCACGTGCAAATACAGAAAACAAACAAATACGTGTATGTAAACAGCTGCTGAACAAGCCCATCCTATAACCGAGATCTAACGAGAATATTAAAGCTGAAAAGACACAGAAAGTTAGAGTTGGCTCATTTTTAGATTCTACAGGTAGCTGTGATACTGACCTGGCTCTGCAGCTCTCCCTGGAGGTGCAGCCACTGGAGTCTGAGGGCACCAAGTTTCTCTGCAAACACCGTCCGCTCAGACTGGAGAGCCTGGACGTGAGCTCCCACTGCCTGAGGCCGAGACTGGCTCAGGAAATCAAGGATGAGCTGTCCACCGACAACACCTGCCTTCAACTCCTGAAAAATTATTTTACATACAAATAAAAGTAAGATTTCTAGATGGCAAGACTGAATTTGTGTTTAATTATTTTCCTAATTTTCCTTTGTGAATGGCTCATTTCCTACAATCTCAGTATTTTCATATATGGAAAAAACCGAGTGAAACTTCGTCGAGAAACTTCAAGATGTTTGAGCAGCAACTTCAAATATGTTCGTAACATAAATCAAGTGAAGTCATTTCAGGACTCAACACAACAAAGGAGACGTTCAAAAATCATTTAAATTATAATACCTGAAATAAGTGGTTGAACGAAATCACTCCTAACACGAACTTCCTGAGTTTAAATAACGACTGAACTAGAAGCTCAGATTAAAGATGAACTGATGCACTAAAAGAAACAGTGGAGGTAAAGTACCCGATGGTGCTGCAGGACTTCAGTGATCTGAGAAGCATCTTTGACCTTGAGATTCTTTTCATTCTCTTGGTTCAGTGAATCCTGCTTCTTCAGCCACGACTCCAGATCAGAGAGCAGCTCCACGGGCGGCCATGCAGCCAGCAGCAGCTACCAGACGCAAGATAACAGAGAAGAGAGGGAGTTCACTTAAACCCTTCAATTTAAATTTTATTGTGGTAGTTGGACAGTGAAAACCAGTTCTGATGCAATCTGACTCTTGTTTCTGTCCAAATTATTAAATCTGTCTCCAGCAGATAAGATCATTGCATCCTCTCCAAAGTGTAAGACTTCAAAATGAACCTGGCAAAACAAACTCATATCTGGTTCCATTCACTGGTGATGAATGGTGAAGAAAAATGAAAGCGTCCTTCTCTCCCTCCCGGTCCTCAATCATCCTGAAACTAATTTCAGCAGGATTGTATTCAAGTTTTCACTCCCTTCATCGGAGGGGATTTCTCAATGCCTAATTATTTATTTTTTTGAAAACCACCAGCGCTGCCGTGGAATTTGGACCATTACGCTTAAATTCAATGAGAAGTGGTAAAGCTCAAAGCTTATGGGGGCGTGAGGCTGATAGTGGAAAAAACTGAAATACAGACAAGGTATATGATGCAGGATTATTCCGTCACTTCTTTAAAACAAGTAGAAACAAACCATTGTGATGCCACAATGATAAGTAACGTAACGGTAACGTAATCTCAGCTTTACACAAATTGTGGAACAGCTGCAATAACATCGAACAAATACATACAAACCAAATGATGAAAAAAGAATAAAAGAATGAAAATAAGAGAGCTCTAGCTTTAGATGAATGAGAAAAATGTATTTGACGTGTATTTTAACTTTATTGATTGATGTCCCATCCATTAACATGGAGGAGGTGTTTATAAGACCTGTACTGCAGCCAGCCACAAGGGGCAGATCGAGATGACTTGACTTTGCTTTTGGGAGCTGTCATGTTCACATTCAGTCCGTTGTTGAGAAGATAAAGTAAATTTAAAAGCACCTGCTGCAGCTGGTCTTGTATCCTGGGCAGATCGGAGGTGAACTGGCTCCAGTTCACCTCCAGCTGGGCGATCTGAGCTCTCAGACCGGGACAATCAGCTTCACTCAGGTGGAGCAGCCGAGTGGCGTCCCTGGAAACAGATGTCCTCTGCACCGACATAGCCTCCGCCTCCTTGGAGAAGTCCTTGAGGACAGAGCGGTGATTGGAGGTTAAGACACAGTTTAATCTACTGGACGTGTTATGAACAGCTGATGAATGAGTTTCCAGGTTGACAGGCTGGTTCATCCGTCCATCGCGAAGCGCTTTTTTTTTTATTTCTGTGGTGATGAGATTCTTTACCAGCAGCTTGATGAGACTGTGGTGGACAAACTCCTGCTTCAGGTCGGACGTCTCTGCCAGGTCTGACCAAGACTTCAACTGTGTCTTGGCACCAACGAGCCAATTACTGAGCGAGGTGAAGTCTATTTGGAATCTGTGGGGAGGACAAGAGAAACGTAGCTCATCCAGCAGAACATGACGGCTCCTTCGTACAGAGTGATGTCATTACTGGGGTTTGGGCCCAATACTAATAAATAATCTGTACACCAGATATAAAGATATGAGAGTGTGGGAACAACAGAGTGTTGAAATGTTACTGTAAACTGAGGAATCTCCTGAGGGAAACATTTAGACATTTCTGATTTACTGAATGTTTCTAGATAAGATTAAAACAGATTAAAAGCCTGGAGTAGGGAAAAGACCATATGTCATTTGATTTAAACTGGTTTTAATGGTTTATTTTTAATATTTTCTTTTATGTGCTTTCTTATTTTTGTTTTGTCTCATTTTCTTGAGTGTTGTTTTGTTCCCTTGTATTTTGTAAAGCACTTATTGTTAAGATAAGTGCTATAGAAAGTGTATTATTATTATTATTATCATAAAGATTATATGTATTTTGTAATCTAATTTTGTAGGTGCAATGACCTCTGTTTCCATCATTGCAGATCCAGGCTATAGTGGATGTTAATATTCAAATTAATAAGCAGAAGCCTTTGTGTGTATTCTGGTTGTGAAATAACATTTATTCCTATTTTTCAGTTTTTCAAAAAGGCCCTGGAGTAAAGAAAACACTTGTTTTTGTATTTTGCATCCATAAAAAAAATTTGCTGACGCAGTTGTTCCAGACGATGACATTAAGGCAATAATTAAAACTGTCTGGCCTCCACTGGTAGATAATAAAAACATCTAGAGCATGATAATCCTTTTATTTTTGCACATTATTACTGTATTTTCGAACGTGTCCCACCTGGCCCTGATGACCTGGATGTCTCTGCAGCGTTGAATCTCCTGCTCCGTCCTCCTGACCGCTCTCCTCCATCGCAGCTCCAGAGCACCTCCTGTCTGTCCGACCGAGGCAGCAAACGCCGGCTCTTTCTGCAGAACCTCGCACTGATCCAGGAGGATTCCTAAAGCCGCTCTGCTCTCATCCAACTGCACCAGTGTTTGCTGATTAACCACGGAGACAACACGCATGAGATTCTCTCAGTAAGCATCTTGAATCTGTGACATACTGTGGAGTATGTTTACGTGCAGTGTGTCAGGCATCAATCTCTTCAAACAGATGCTACAGGTGGAAATGCAGAAGACAAGATTTCGGAGCTGGACAATCACTGTTTGTGTTTTTGAGAGAAACGTTTGACTCGTGTGAGAAAAGAAAGTAGCAAACTGTAAAAAGCGTACAGCAACTTGAATAAGAGTATGTTGATGTGAAAAAGTTTAAACACCAGGAGATGGAAAGATGGAAGGAGGGAAAGTGTGAAGAGCAGATGAGGAGAAGATAAAACTGTGTGTTCACCTGGCAGGCATCGAGTCTGTGCTGCACGACAGACTCCTCCTCCTCATCGTCTTCCTCTGGTTCCCCGCTGCTGATGAGGGCTTCAGACTCATCCAGCACCCGGCCCACTCGATCACAATTATCCTCCCAGAGGGTCCACTCCTACGGCAGGTCCAAAAAGAACCCCACACATCGACTTTACTTTGTGAGCACATTCACACCAGTACAAAAACACGGCACAGAAACTTCTCATTGGTTGATTTTAGGAATTTTCATGGCCTTCAGCAAATGTGCGCTTACAAACCTGCAGCCTCTTTTGAGAAGCTACCTCTCGTCCCTGAGCCTGTTGCTGCAGAGCTTTGGCCCTGACTTCCAGCTGCAGCCTCTCATCCTCCTGACACCTGAGCACTTCTGGCTCACGCTGGAATAGATGCTGAACAAAAGCCAGCTGAGACCCGAGGACCGGCAGGAGTTTCTGTTTCACCAAGAGACCAGATTTATGACAGAAGTGAGGTTTAATAAATAAAGCAGAGGATGTGCTGAAGGTCTAAATATTTATGTGTAAAGTCTAATCATCAGTTGTTTAAAGGTTGTTAAAAAAAAAAAAAGAAAGGTCTGTCTCTTTGAAAAGCATCAAGAAGCTTCTGCACACTTTTTGGAAAGTGCCTAACTCAAATCTGGGCTTTGCCTGCCTGCTGAGGAACTTGCTGAAAGCACAGCGAGTTACCTTGTGTCTGCAGAGAATAGCTTGAAGTTGGCTGCGGTTGTGAACCTGGCTCATCTGCTTCTCTTTTATGCTTTCTTCACCCAGTTCCAGGAGGTGAGTTATCCCCTGAAGCAAGGCCCGGGATGCTTGCTGAAGCTTGGCTTTTTCCCATGGACTCTCCCTCAGATGTCTGCCCAGGATACACTGCTGAGAGACACAGGGGGAGCACAGAGTTTAAGGAGAATACCATTAAGTTTGGAAGCACAGATCCTGTATCATGTTTCCAGTCCATCTGCAATAGAGTTGAGGAGATTATTTTTTAAAAACCATTCATTGCTAATATGCTGTAATTAAAACTGTTTGTCCTCCTCAGGGTGAAGACAAAGGTACGATCCAGGAATTATTTTCTTTAACATTGCGAGATTGTGTTTTTTGACAATTTCCTGTATTCACTGAACATTTTATACCAGTACAACACACACACACACACACACACACACACACACACACATATATATATAAATCTGTGTGGGCGTCATTACCTCCACACAAGGCGCATCCTTCAGACCTGGGAAGGTGACACTTTGTCCAAGTTCAAACTCGTCCAAAATACACAACTGTTGAAGAGTGAGAGAAGAATTAATCTGTGTTGGTTCAGATCAGCGATGGAGAAAGTATTCGGATCCCTTAATAAAGCAAAAGCAAACACATACTCTATTAAAAGTTCCAAACTTTTTACAATTTTGCTTTAGTTAAAGCATTTAAACAAAAATACACTTTTAAACATCACAAGTAAAAGTTTTCTTGCATTATTATTGACGCGTTAACATCATTAACCAACATTAGTTAGGATTCAGCCTGGAACGGCTCAAAGCTCAATTTCAGACCTGATGTTGGTTTTTGAGGCCCAGATGTTCAGCGAGCTGATTGTCGGATGAGGTGAAGAGCAGCTGGACTGTACTGAGACAATCCTGAAGGCAGGTCAAACACTGGGAGGCCTCTGGTTCCTCTGTCGAAAGCAGCGGCCCGGGCTCTGATTCTATTTTCCTCAACAGCTCGGCCACAGTCAGCAGCTCGGAGGATACGCACTACACAGGAGTTCAAACAGAACGTGAGCCGGAGAAGAATCAAACCCTTTCTCATCAATCAGAATTATGTTCAGTCACCTCCCGCTGCAGCATCCTCAGCTGGGGCTCATTTTCACCAGCGCCATCTGCAGTCAACAGAGGGTTGGTCCAGGTGTCCAGACAGAGGAGGACCCTCCGTAGAGCCTCGTACGTCCTCTCCTTCACATCTGGCTGAGAGCCTTCTGCAGACCTCGCCTGGGAGACATCAAACACATCACCAGCACTCACTCACTCACTGTCACTCAATGCTGGATTTTCCAGAGCTGTTGTTTTCTCTAGTGGTCTGATCGAAGGGAGATCTTGACTGTTGCTTCACTTAAAATTGGCAAGATAAGAACATACGTGTGCAGAGAGATTCTACAAGTGTCTGTACTGCTCATACTATTTGTCTCAGCATGGCGACGGACTCTTGTATCCGCTGGAGAACAGCCGGAGCAGATCCGGTTGATATCAGCTTCTTTTCTGGAACCTAAACAGAACCAGACAGTCGTATAGTTTCAGATTCACAGTTGGAAGGTGGTCGTACAGTGTAGATGATGTTTCTATATTTTCAAGTGTTTCTGCTTTTGGTTAGCTGGCAATTGTATGTCTCTGAGAGGACGGCACGGGACAAATTAAGGTGGTTTATCCCGCTGTTGTCGTGGTTACAGAGGTGATGGATATTCTTCATCTCAGATCCTCGAATCAGAAACACACGTGTCAGTTTTCTGTTTTCCTACCGTTTCGTGGACCCCCCCGTCATCAGGGGTTTGACGTTCCTCCTGAAGTTTTCTCAAAGTGGCCAGTCTTTCAGAGATCTCAGTATAAAGTCGACTCCATCTTTGCTGCTCCTTCTCGTCTTCCTCGTGTTCTGCCGAGCTTGGGACCAAAGAGAACACACTTAAATCAACTGTGTCCTTTGCACACATGAGATTCAAACCTCTTTGACGTTGACGACTGGTCACTGTCAATTACCTGAGTGGCCCCTCAGATGAGTCCTGGGCTTGTTGGGATTCTTCCAAACTACAATGACTGGACCCAACTTCACTTTGTACCTTCAAATGATGAAGAGCGTCCTGATGATTGAAGAGAAAACAGGGAAAATGTGGTTTCTCACTGTTTCTATTTTATATTATTTGAATCAAATATGATTGAAATGAAGTGTTACACATACTTTATGTTGAAAATCTGTAGGGAAATTATTTTAAAAAGGAATCTTACTTCATCTCGATGAGGAGCTGTGGACAGAGTCAGATCTTTGTCTTCGTCCTCTGTGAACTCGGGAGATTCTCTCGTGGCCGTGAACGGAGTTACGGGTCTCGCAGGGATCGTTCTCGTGTCTTCAGCCTGAGGGGACTTGGCATGAGGGTCGGTGGCAAACGTTTCATGTTTTGGGGATTCATGTCGTTCCAGTGTATCAGCAGCAGCGTACTGATCTTCAGTTGCTGGAGAGACCGCGGCGATTAGCGGCGCAGCTGTCAAAGTGTCTGGACGGGACGAGTCAGCTTTAGAATCCATTGTTGTTAATCCAGTTTCATAATTTTTAGGAGCAAAGTCGTTGGTATCACATCCAGACGTCACAGATGAATGCTCAGATTCAGCAGCTTTTGAGGTCGTCTCCACTTGAGAAGAAAACCGAGGAGCCAAACTCTTCAGTTCCTGAAAATCAATAGAATCAGAAACAGGTTTATTATCTGTAATAGATTAAAAATATGGAAAAAAAACAAATCCGTTGTGTTTTATATTCAAAGTGTTCACTAAAAAAACAGTAAAATATAATTTACCTTAAAGTTTAACAGCGTGTCAGCAATATCCTCACTCTTCACATCTGAGGGGACGAGCGTGTCCTCTGGGTCCTGATATATGTGTGAGGTATAAATATTCAAATGCAAAAGAAATCCATTCACACACCCACACACACATTAAATGAAATGAAAGGTTTCTAAGGGGAAGCACATTCAAAGCAGCTGCATGTGACAGAGTGGATCCATCAGCGAACAGAGCGAGCCTGCCTTCAACAGCTTCACCTCGACATGCAAGTGTCTGCTCCAGGTTTCCACACTTCAGGACATTAGATTCAAAGCTAAAATATAGTAAGTGGATTAAAACATGAAAACATGAAGAAAGGAGGGGAAGAAAAAGCCCAAGAACTTCCACAACATGAGAGAATCTGTGAGAATTCTTTCAAATGTGTGGATTTTTCATTAAAAAGTTTGAAATGTGACATTTTGGAACGAAGCCCAAAGAAAGAGGAACCCAGAACAATTAGTGTTTTTTTTTAGATTTACCTCTGGAACACTGCATGTTAGTGTGTCAGAGGATGAAGAGTGACAACTCTCATCGTCCTCATCCTCCTCTTCCTCTGAGTTAGACACGTCAGAAGGCTCCTGCTTCGTGAACAATATCATCAACAGATGATTCAAATAATACTGGAACCAAAATTATTTCTGATGATACTTGTTCTTCTTAAACAAATATATTTTCTCAAGTAATATCAGTGAAGTGTTTTTTCAGTACGCATGACTCATCAGCTCATTTTGGTGTACTTACTCATCTCTGACAAATCTTTAGTTCAGTTTAGGATTGTTCATTTTTGGGGGGGGGGTTATTCATCTTCTTTCCCAGGAAACAACATTTTGTTAATGTGTTAAGTCTCAACAATTATAATTGTAAATGTGATACCGCAGACACAGAGGCTGTGCTGTGTGACAACCTGGGCATGTTTAATTCTTAAAAAATGAAATACATTTATGAAAATTTGCAGTTGCGTTATATATACGAATCATAATAATCCCCCCCAAAAACAAACTGAGATTCAAGGCACTTTTGAGGGTGAGGTTTTGTTAAAGGAGCTGGTTTCAATCTGTTAAATTCAAAGATGACGCAGAGTTAATAAAAATCCAAACAACACCACTAGTGGCTTTGGGTTACGATTGTGATTATTTCTTTATATTAATAATATTATTACCCGGACCAGCTGCTGTGTCTCTTCAGGAATTTTGGAGAGTGAGGTGATGCCGAGATCTTTTCTGGTTGCTTCCTCCTCCCGGATCTTATTCTGCGTTAATCAAAGAGACGAGAGAAACAGAGAAAGAGCATCATTGCATGGGATCCAAAGCACCTTCTGCCTAACCCTAAGTTTCTGCAGTAACAGAACAAATCTTTTTATTTTTGACATTCTGACTTGTTGCTTTACCTTCAGCAGCGAGGTTTGATACTGCGAGAGATGTTCTAGCTCCTCCAGCGGCTGCAGGAGGAGTCTTGCTCTGGAGAAGACCAGCAGGCTCTCCTTCGCTCCCTGTGGAAGGAGGAGCTCTCCTTTATATCTCTGAATCTCCTCCAGTGTCCTCCGGATCGACTGCACATTGGCTTGGATCACCTTCAGGAGAAACCACAAACAGATATGGTATTACGTCTAATTAAATCAATCAAACTAAAGCACGCAGTTTTTGTTCTCCTACCCTTTGAATTTTAAGTGTTTAATTTAATACTACGATTGCATATATTCACCTGTCGGTTGTGAAGATGCTCCGTTAAAGTTATGTTGGTGTCGTCCATGGAGGATAAAATCGTTCTGATCTTTGGGACATTCTTCTCCATAGTCTTGAGCTCAGTTTCCATCTCCTCCACAACCTGAAAAGGTTTTCACATGCTTAACAAGAGCCCATTTCTCTTGTTGCTAAATGTTTGACTAGTGATCTGGGATCTGCAGTTCTGACTGAGGACTTCAGCTGCACGTTATGTGTCTGTGTCTTTCTTTCTACTAAAAAGTCTGCGGTAAATTCATCCGTTTGAAATTGTTACCACAGCAGACTGCAGGAGTTGCTCCAGCGGCTTCAGGAGGTTGCGTTGCATTTTGAGGACTCGCTGGTCGTTCTGGTCCAGCCTCTCCTCCTGTGCGCTGATGTCACACACGGCAGAGATCTCCGCCAGCACCGGCCTGAAGTCCTGCAGCGTGTCCCTGATCCTCTCAGAGTCGTCCAGGACCAGCTGTATTTCAGGTTCAGAACTCATCATTAACAGGAAATATGCTTTGTATCTTGATACTGTGGTCAGTATTAAATCTTGTGTGGCGTATAATAGGACCTGGTAATTGTAAATAATGATAAAACACAATATAAAAGAACTATACAGTTACTATTTACTAGATCAAATAAACAAAAACAACAGTATTTGAGCAGGTGTAAGTTATTCTGTCAACAACGATGGAAGTGTCATTGAAAGAAATCAGAGACGTATCAAAAGCATATTCTACTCAAAGAAAAGCAAAATACAAGAAAATAAATATCTAAAACAAACACATTTATTTGAAAATTTGCATGAGAAATATGAGGATATGGAATAAATATGTGATGAATGTGATATTAGATGTCACAGGTCTTCAAAAGCTTCAGGAACTTGCTTGTGACTCGGTGTCACTAACCTGCAGGGACTTTGCATGATTCTGGAGGCCTCTGGCTGACGTGAACGAGCAAGGAGCGCTGAGCCATGACTGGGCCTCGTCCAACCAGCAGGTGGCGCTGTACGAAATGTCCTCAAACTCCTGCAGACAGGCAGGAATCTGACAAAGGAGAAAAGAAAAGGTCGTAGTTTTATTTTACAGATTTTTAGAAGAGGGGTAATCAATTAAGTAAAATACGGCATAAAGGAAAATGTCCGACCTTGCTGAGGAAGGAGGTGCGGTTCTCGGCCATCTGCGAGGCGTTTTGGTAGAGCTGCAGAGGTTGTGTGATGTGGTCTATAAGGAGGTGAGCTTGATGTGGCTGCTCCTCCGCAAGATCCTGCACCTCGCTCTCCAGGAGCATCAGACGGCTGTGCCACGCATCCAGCTCGTCCCAGACGTGCTGGAGAACAGAGGGTGAACAGGAGCTTTGAGATAACGTCATGTAAAACTGACAAGTAATCACTCACACCCTAAATTTCAAACTTTTACCCCCATCAGCAAATAAACATAATTTATTGTGTTCGCACCTTGAGCACATTTTGAGCTTCAGGGACTGTCGGACTTCTCTGCTCCAGTAGCACTTTCACTTTCTCCAGGCCAGAACCCAGCTCCGCCACTTGACCGGCTAACTTCCTGACCGGGTATCTCCCCTCCATGAGCTGTAGAAACCACAGTCACACAACAGGAGACGATTTGGTTGGAGAGAGCTTACAGGCCACTGAAGATCGATCCAGTGTTTTTCTTTGTTACCTCCTCCTCTGCTCTTTGCAGCGACAGTTGAACGTCTTGTAACCGCTTGCTAATGTCGGCAGGAATCTCTGTATACCAGCTCTGCAAACCATCCATGATCCTCCTCAGTTTGTCCGTCTGTGTGGACAAATCCTCTGTGAGCTCCTGTCGGTGGTGAAATACAAGAGAAACATCATGAAAAAAATACATTAGAGTGACACAGAAAATAATATTCTGTGCTCTACCTTTGAAAATAAAAGGAGGGCTTGAAAAATAACAAAAATTAAAAAAGTATTGTCATCAAATATTACTTATGGCTATTTTCTCTAAATGATAAATTGTGTTGTGAAAGATAAATGATGATGTAATGACGTGGAAAACGATGCAGCGCAGCTCTGTTTGATTTATATCGTACCACTTTTAATCGAAACACCTTTAAATGAATCAAATTGATTGATAATTCAGAAAATTCAATACATTTTTACCACTCCATTTCTCAGTTTGCATGCATTTTACTTCCATGTTACTTCAACCCTTCATAATAAACTGGACTGCTGGTTTCTGAGAGATAAATTAAATTTCCTCATTATATTTCAAAACTTCTCCATTTCATTGTCGATGAATGACCAAACATTGATGAGCAGCAAAGACTGAAAGACAAATAAGTGTTATTTTTTAGACACATCACTTCACCTGCTTTTCCACAATATTTCAATCTCTGCTTTCTAAACCTTGTGGCAGAAAGTTAGCCTGACCTGTTGTTGTCTTTGATTGGAGCAGGCTTCCAGTTTGGGAAGAATGGCAAACACGTGTTTCTCCACCTCTTCGATCTCGTCTTGAACGTGCTGTCTCTCGTTCTCCTCTGCCTGGGCTGCAGCTACAACCAGCAGGTTTCTCTCTTTCAAGCTGCGGGGAACAGCATCCTCTCAGCATCTCTGATATAAATGAATAATTATGTTCCGCATGTATATTAAACAAAATCCAATCCCACCTCCTGACATTCTCTTGGATCTTCGCCAGTGTTTTGCCAACGGGTCCAGGACTGATGGGATGCTGGGAGTTGGACAGGCTCAGGGCGTGCTCCAGTCGATGTTCCAGGGAGGCTAAGGCCTGCTGTTCCTGCTCCAGACCGGCCTGGTGGATCTCAGCCCGGGCAAGAAGCTCCTGGGGTTTCTCTTGTGTGAAGCTCACAGTGGAGGAGTCAGGCACCTCAGCCTGAAGACTTGCCAAAAAACTGCAACACTGCTGTATCTGAAAGGAATAGAATAAAAAATCTAAATGTTATACATGGATTATATTTCTCTTCCCTTGTCAAATATATTTATTGTTATATATGTGATGCTTCGGACACATTTGGTCTTGTTTAGATGAACAGAAAGATTTGAGTGAACTCACACTTGTTGTGATGTCCTTCCATTCCTCTTGTTTTTGCTCTGCCTGCACCATCAGGAGGCCAACACCACGCCGTAATGATACCCAGCGCCGCCACAGGGCTCCCAGCTCGCCATCTTTACCAACCCCACAACCCTGCATCGGACACCCGGCCCTCAGTTCTTCTATCTTACCACCGAGGCTGCGGAGATCCTCCAACAGAAGCTACATAAAGAGATGAAAGTTTGAGATCAGAAGTGTTAATAAACAGGTCGAATGGATTCCTCTACCAACAAACTGTCAAAAAGGAAATCCAGAAAAAACATTTGGTAGTTCTGCTTTGAACTCACCGTAGCTTTATTTTGTTGGGCAACACATTTGTCATTGGATGTCACTTGCACAGTAGCGCAGTCTGAAAGCCTGGCTTCAAACCCAGACAGATGCTGCCGTATGTCTTCATGACAGATCCCGTGGCTTTGTTGTCGTACTGCACACCTGTAAGAAATGTTGTGTTTAGGGTGATTTTAAAAGAAAAAATCACATTATGAAAAGGCAAAATGTTTAGAACTGGTTTTAAGACGGCTCTGTACCTCTGCAGGGACTCCAGCCTGAGCTGGGCCTGGGCCTCCAGTACAGCTCTTCCCACCAACAACTGGCTGAGGAGGCTGATGTGGAGCTGCTCGACCTCTGGGTGGGAGAGGCAGGGCTGCCGGGGGAGCAGCTCCACAAGGTGGCACATGTGAGCCTGAAATCCATCTTCTAGAGCTTCCAGAGCCTGCTGGGTTTGTCTTTGCTCCTCGGTACAGTCCAGAAACCCACCGGGAGCTGACAAGAACATGGCTTCAGCATTATGAAGAAAGGCTATTGCCCCTTGAGCAGCCCACTGGTAATCCTTTAAGGACTCTCGAGCCTGGGATAAACTCTCCTATTGAACAAAAAGACAGCTCAGAGAAACAACTAATAAAGTATTAATTGTAAAGTTAAGTTGACTTGAGAAACAGAATATTTAAGCTTACCATTCCTACGTGACACTCTTGCATCGCTGCGTCTCTAAGAGGGTATAGCTCCTTGTTGTTCTTCAGGCTGATTTTTTCTCTCCGTCCCAGAGCTTCTAACACTCTCATCCCAGACTTCAGGTTTCTCCAAATGACCCAGTGTCTTCGTAGAGCACCATCTATTGCCTTCTCATCTGGACTGACTGGCTCAGCTCCCTCCAACTCCGCTCTTGTTCTTTGGAAAAACTCTATCAAAGCAGGAAGTTCAGAGGAAAAGCGTAGACCTGGCAGAAGCTTGGCCTCTAGGTATTTGATATCATCTGTGGCAGAAAGCTCCCATGAGACCAAAGTTTCCACCGTGTGATGAATCCTCTGCCTCTCTGAATCAAGCTCAGATGGGTACAACTCCTGAGCTATGGCCTCCAGTTGGTCCCCTGCTTCTTGACACTGTGTCTTCACCAGAGGAAGTTCAACGAGGAGCATTTGGTATAGTCTGAACCGCTCACCCATACTTAGCGATTTGTCTCTGGCACGCAAGATTTGCTCTTTAGCAATGTCCCTAGATTCCTCCATTTGTCTCCTCAGGTGCAGATACTTGTCTTGCTCAAAGGTATTAAGACTAAGAGTTTTGCACCTGTCTAACAGTTCTCCAATGGTGTACAGCAGGGCACTTCTCTTGGCCTCTTGGCAGTGCTGAAGCTCTTGGACTTGACACTGGCTCTCTATTAGCATGTGCATCAAATGTGCAATGGTTGAAAGGGTTTCCAACGTCAAAGGGAACTTCTGCTGCTCCAAATCGGAGGAGATCTGCTTCAAACTGGTCTGGATGGTTGATAACTCCTCATCAGAAGAGGTTCGCTCATGAATCAGCTCCTCTAATTCCCAGCTGGTGGCTTTCTCGTGAGATAGCAGTCCATCTAATTCTGTACAAAGGCCTGACAGTCTGTTGACAAGGTAGCGGCTCTCTTCTGGACTCAATCCCGCTGCGATATCCTCGCAACTTTCTGCCATTGCCTCCACCAGATTTAGCTGGCTCTGGATCTCCACAGTGGCTAATCTGTGACTTTCCAGCTCGCTCTCCAGCATCTGGACATCGACTTTGGAAAGATTTTCCACATGGACACAGGCGTCTCCTGCAGCATGCGATTGTGCTAGCCAGGCTTCCATGCTATCAAGCTGGGATAAGAGTTTTTCTCTGTTGTGTAGATGCTTCTTCATGGTGTCAAGAACATGATCCAAGCTGTCACTGATGGCTTCATAGAGGTCCTCTATTGTCTTCAATACTTGGTCACTTTCCTCCTTTTCCATATCAGAGGCTATATCTTTCATCTCCTCAACCTTTGCTTGCATCTTGGACCGTCGGGACAAAATATCAGTCTGAAATTTCTTCATGTCAGTGATTTGAATACGAGCCTCCTCAGGGAAAAGAGCTAACTTTTTCCCAGTGGAGATGTGGTTTTCTGCCTGTTTGGCCCATATGACCAAGTCTTGTAATTGTTTGTTGATCTTGCCTGAAGAAATGCAACATGTGGAATTGTCGAGCTTTCTCTTGGTGACATCAAGCAATGACCCCAACTCCTGAAGGTTATTTTGGATCTCATCCTTCTCCTTCTGGCCCAGGGAGAAATGGACAAGAGCGTCTGACTGGGACTGTAAGTGCAGATAAAGCTGGTTATACAGCTTTAGGTCTGTGGTCAGACAAACTAATTCTAAAGCGCTTTTGCTGTCATTGCTCTGAAAGTTGGATTTCTGAAGATCTTCAAGCTGGGTTTTCATCTGTTCGGCCTCTTTTCTAAGAAGGGAGGATTGAGAGGTGGCATTTGTGGCGTGTCGTAGAGCTCGTTTGATACTTCCTTTTAAAACACTCCATTCCTCTTGGACATTTGCAAGCTGGGCAAGAAGAGCACCTGAACTTTCAGCATCGCTCAAGTGAACTGATAACTGGCTACTCAGGTGGAGCAGCTCCCTCATTAGGCCTTTCTTCTGTTCCATGGTTTGCAGGAGGGCATGAAGTTTGTCAGCTTGAATAGCGCTACTTCCCAAAGCATTTCTGAGAAAAACACATCAGAAAAACATGAGCGTTAATGGAGCACATATGCAAACACTATCAAATTAAAGTTAGCATAAAGCATTAGCTTACGACGATGATAAGTTTACTCACAAGCTCATTTTCTCCTTCTCATCAGCTAAAACCTCCAGAAAAGCTCTCAACATCTTCATCTGTTTGTGATACTGTTTGACCTGATCCAGCTGTGCTGCTTTCACTTGCACAGTGGCAGAGGCATCCAGCAGCGCTGCGCTCCACTGTCCTTCAGCTCTCTTCAAGGCAATTGGGTCCCAGTCGCTGGCGGCACTCGTGTTTTTCATCGTAGCGACTCGCTCCTGCACACAGGCCCTGTGCTCCTGCAGGACACAGAACTGGCTTCAGAACAGATCAGACTGTTTTTTCTACGAATTAAAACGTACCATACATACCTCTGCTTCCTCCAGCTGTTTAACCATAGCTGTGACATCAAGCTGTGCTGGTTGATATCGACATGCCAGGACTCGCTGGACAGTTCGTACCAGTCGGATCTCGGGTTCACCAGGAGAGGACTTCAGATACCAGTTCAGATCAGTGTGTGGTGTCCTCTAAAACAAAATAACGACAACATAATATTGGTGGGAGACCTGCTTGATATAGCTGTCTGTGGGCTTTATTGACTTATTGCTGATCTTTTTGTGGGTGTGAATGTTTTAAACTACTATGTTAGTGTCAGTCACAAATATTGAGTTTCTTTCCTATCTTTATTCAAGAGCTTCTCATTTCGAGAGCATTATTTCTTCATTTCATTCACACGCTGTTGTGCTTCAGTCTGAGTCCTCCTCAGGCTGCTTCTGCAGGGCTTGGAGAGGGAGAGCGTTTCAGAATGTGAAAGTGAAATGAAGAAATAATGCTCTTCAAATGAGAAGACCACGCTCTTGAATAAAGATAAGGGAGAAAGTCTAAACGGAATACTGAGGGTAATTAGAGCCAGCAGGAAATTATTGTATCTTTTGTTTCCTTCCTGTAAAACTTCCTCCTGACGTCAGCAGCATCATGGGAACGCACGAACATCAGTAATAACACTGCTGCTCCTATCGGTTCACTGTTCTATGGATTTATAAATGACTTTTTGCCCTTTGGATCAAACGGAACTGTACATTAATTATTTTTAAATTTCTAAATTTTCATTTAAATACTACATTCAGTTGTAGAATGTGAATTAGTTCTACAAAGAGTGAATAAACATCCAGATTTTAAATTACATTTCTATAATTAGTTTAAAATTTAACCTTTTATACAAATACTGTGAAGTTCATACTCTTACAAATTAATTCTTGGACTCAAAGCAACATGGTTTGCAACCTGTGCACACGTGCAGGTGCAGGAAGCTGTGTTTGTATTTTAGTCATTTAAAACCAGTTGATACTCACATTTATTATGTTGCTTCTTTCCACCAAGCTCTGTATCTCAGACAAAATATCCTGCATGGTGGATCTGGGTTTGTGGGAAGCCATCGACTCCCCGGCCGGACCCAGATCAGCTGACAAACCCGGCTCCGTCCTCGCAGGCTCCATGCGTCCTTGCATCTGAGGCTGCATACGCACAAGACAGGGAGCGGTGTCACATTTCACCCTTTTTCTGCCCTGTGTTTGCCTACAGATAATAACAGAGCTTCCTGTTTGTTCCCTGCTCCACAGTGGTAAGTAGCACTGTGCCGACAGTGGCCCGGCGAGTCAGTACAGTTAACTCAAGAATGTGCCTGAGTAGGGAGCAGTCTTGCCCTGAGGGAGAAGGACTTTGTCTATTCATCTACAAAACGCTGCCTCCCATACGTATTTGAAGAAATTACTGATTTGTTATAACTTGGTTAGACGAGGGAGACACCAAAACATGACATGAACTGCTGGGTTACCGCACCACAAACAGGGGAGGTGTCTTTTAAAATATCTTGGGCATGAACAAGATGTGTAGCAGGGTGTAGGAGGAGCGTGAGACAGTTTGAAAAACTGAATATAATGAAGTATATATAGATATATAGATATATCTATATATCTATATATACTTTTAACTGCTTCAATATAAGTCAAACATTTCTGAACACACTGGTGTATATCTAAATATCGTTTAGGAGAGTCAACGTTCATTGGTGTAAAAAATATCTCTATTTACAGAAGGAGGGCAGGCTGTTTTATCAGTGACAATAATGACAAGTTGCCGTTAAGAACTTCAACAAGAAGAAAAGCGATTTGCTGGCTTGTACCTTCGAAACTTATGTAGAGACAGAAAAAAGGTATGATACTGTATTGTCTCTGCAGATATTGACATTTGCCATATTTGAATGAGGCAAACACATATTAATACCACTTGTAATGTGTCTGAAGTTTTCTGTCTCATGCTGTATTTTCCGTTGGCAGTTAATATTTGTGCTTCCCTCGTTTTTTATGGTTGTTACTGTTGAACTTGTTTGCTGTTCAAATAATTCTTCCTTGTCAACTTTATTTTTGCCTTTATACCATTTCCATTTTTGTACTTGATTTATAATCTGTCCTTGGAGCTCCTGCAGACTGAGTATACTCACACAGCAGGTGCCAGGAAAAAAAAGAACATAATAAACTGATCTTGTCTGAATTAGCACACGCAAAGCTTTTCCATTTAAAAAAAAAAAAAAAAAAAAGATATTTGATAGATTTTCTGACGCTACTGAGGGCTTAAAGTCAAAGTACATTTGCTGTCACTCTTTCAAAGTGTAATTTTTTGTTTTGTGGCTGAAGGAACTGCATGAAATTGTTTTGTAAGAGGCAGTTAACATTTGTTCTGGGTTATAGGTCTTTTTCACAACAACTTTTTTGACATGTCACAGCAGGAAAACACATTTTGCACAGCAAGTTTCCCAGCTACACATTCATGGTAGTTGCAGGTTTCAAGTCCTATTTGTTATTTTACAGTGTGCATCCACTAGATCAGGTTCTTATTTGGATCAGCATGAAATCAGCAAATTCATCAATACCAACCCTCTAATTTCTAAAGATTTACTCACAGTTCTCTGACAAATCAACTAAAATTAATGTTAAAGGAAGATTCCTGGACTGGCCCCGAGATTTGGATCCGCATTTTTTTTTTTTTCAACTGGATCACCATGTTTCTAAAAGAGTTTAATAAAACTGGACTGAACATGCATTTGAATTATGACATTCAAATGCCAAATGGTGAGAGGAACAAATGCACTTAAAGCCAGTGAGTTCCAGCCTGATGAAGGGCAAAACTCGGGAAGAGATGACAGATGCAAAATGTCAGAAACACTGAACACACACCCACTCTGCCACGAGGGTAAGATAAAGAAAAGGAGAATGGTTTGTAAATGTCACGTTTGATAAGTGAAATTTAAGATGGCAAGGACTGTGACTTTATCTGGGACATCTGGGGTCGTCCGCCTGCTGGGAGGACGAACTTCTTCAATCTGCGACGCTTAACTAACTTTTTCAGGTTCTGTTTCTCGGTTTTTTTCAAATCTGAAAAAGCCGTTGTTAGCATTTGAAACCAGACTTCATTGTGGTCAAGAGGTGACCTTCGACCTTACATATATATATATATTTCTATTACATATATTCATTTCTGCTAAATTGTGCGGAAACCAAACCAAAGAAGCAAAAATTCATAGATTTAGAAAACCTTAAGATGATGTGAAGAAGAAATATTAAAAAAGAATCCCACCTGTCCCTGTGTCAGCACCTTGTCCTCCAGCTTTGATTCACTCTTTGGCACCTCTGAGCGTTTGGACTCCGGCCCTTCGCTCGCCTCTTCTGTGTTTTCTCCTTCTGCCGACTCTGCGCGTCCTTTACCTGCGCTCTCTGCCGTGTCAGCACCCATCGTCTGCTCAGTGTCACCAGCAGGTATGTGAGTGTCAGCGACTGAACCCTCCACAGTGCACGAGCTCAACATTTGCCGAGCAGCGTGACACAAATCTGTCACCTCTTCGTTGACGTCTGGTTGTACCTGATCCAACTCTGTGCTCATTAACGTGAATGGGTTTTCCAACAGTGAGTCGGCCACTTGACACACATTTGATTTCGGTCTCTTTAAATAATGGCCTCTCAGGTCTGTTTTAACTGCTTTAAGACTGATTAATGTTGAAAGCTGTTCAGATTTCTTCTCTGTGAACCGTGAACCACACGGTTCTGCTCCCTGGGAGAATCTGCTGGTTTCAAGATTGTCCCCTTGCTGTTTGTCCGGGTGCACGTCCAACACTATTGTTAACACTTTATTTGGGCTCGCATTAATATCCTCTTCTACATGAGCATGATTAAATGTCTGAGCAGATTGATGATCGATGACTGATTGTGCTGCTAAATGAAGGTTTTTCAGATCTGTGTTGTCAGGAATGATTATTGTTGTAGCTGGGTCAGATTTCTTCTCAGGGAACGCTTCGCTTGAATCCTCTGCTCCCTGTGAATATCCGAGTACATCTGAACTGCTGACTCCAGCTTTCTCAAATTCCCTCACATCGTGCGGCTCCATGTCTAACATAGTAGTAAAGTCTTTCTCTGGCTTCACAGTTGAGTCCTCACACGGTTTCTCTTGTTCTTGAGGAGCAGTGATTCCCATAACCGTGTTTGATTGTGCTGCTAAACATCCAGCGACAATTTCTGTGGCAGAGGAAAATAAGTCATTGTGCCTTTCTGCCACGGATGTGTCACAATGTGGTGAATTGATGTTTTCGGTTTCATCTGTGCCTGTAGCTGACACTTTCGAGTCCAGGATCCAGGCTGAGTGTTGCTGCAGTGGTTCAGGGTCCTCTTGATGAAGTGAATCGGATATTGAAGGTTCTGTGTAATTTCCAGAAATTGTCCCGATATCAATGTTGTCAATATCATCATTTGGCCTAAGATCAGTTATTGAGTCTATTTCTGGTGATTCTTGTTGGAGTTCCGCTTTAACAACCTCAGGGATCTTTGGGTTTTCAACCTGATTAGAAACTAAGGCATCTTGTTTGGCTGTTGGTATAGAGCTAGTGGAAATATACGTTTCATCGTCTCTTGTGGCAGCAGCTTCTTCGGTCGTGTTTCTGTCAAGCTCGGGAGACGGGTGATGTTTTTCTAGAGTGCAGAAATCGCCTGTTGTTATTATCTTGTTGTCATTCTGGTCACTTTCAGAATTGTCTGTGGCAGAGGGGGAAGGACACTCTGGAGGACACGTCTCATCCGATGAATCCGCTGAATGTGGTGTTTTACTTTTACAATTTTCTCCGACAGTCTCTCTGCCGTCCAATTCCACTTCACCATGACCTTGACTCACCTATGAAACCCCAGAAATTGAATGAAAATATTTACCACGCGGTAGAATCAGGTAATTGTCTCTCTGTATTGATTCAGAGGCTTAATACAAACTCACCGGGCTTTTAGACAGGACTGCAAGTGCACATGTGCTTTCACTGAGAGCATTTGAAGTAATTTTCTCCAGCTCCGTCCAGACTTTTGTTCCAAAACAATTTAGGAGAAAATGTTTCTCTGAGAGCACATCTAGCAGATACTGTTGAAGCTGCGAACCTTCATCCAGAGCTGCCTGCCAGAGCACAGACACACAGAAAACTCAAATCAAGAAAGAGTCATTTCGTCTTTAAATCACTGACCTACGTGGACAGTGACTGTTGTGGTGTCGCAAAACAACCAACACCTACACAACACTTTGGAATGCCTGGTATGTGTGAAGCTGAGTGAAGTTGAGTGAAGCTGTACTTTGCAACATGTTCACAATGACATGCCAACATACTGATGCTCAGCAGGCATGAAGCTTTCCATGTTCAGGGTTTACACTTAGTTAGCACGTTAACATTTGCCAGTTAGCACTGAACACAGATGTTGATGAGAATGTTCATTAGGGTTTACATGTTATCTTGGAGAAAATACATATTTTGGCGTTAAATCAGATCCTTTGGAGAACATAATCTTTTTGTCTATATTCATCTGCATTTCACTGAAAACCAGAAATGTCAAAAGTAAAAGTCAGGAAATCACCAAAGTCAATGTGAATAATCCTCCGAGAAAAGAAAATCAAGCAAATCAATCTGATATGTGCTGAGATATTTCTGTCTGGACCCAGTGAATACATAATAAATACAGTGGCGATCACGGCTAAAAGAGAATTAGGCTGCTAATCTATTAGTAAGTGAACCCAAATCTTTTCTTTTCATAAAGTTCTTAGATTTAAGCTGTAAAGTTTGTTTGGTGATTTAACCATTTAACATCAGTAAATGATTTTCATGTCAAATCAGTGCCTGAACTGGCAAAACAGGAATAGTGCGGTTGGATTGAAGAGTTGTTGGCAGCTGCAGATTTGAGGCCGATGGGGAAATCATCATCAGTAATACAAAAAGCAAGCATTTGCTGAAATGAGCCACATGCTCCCCTGAGAGGACGGTGCATTACGTTCCCCATGTGCCGCACAGAGGAGATGGTATTCCCATTTCAGTAAGAATAAAGGAATAATGCACCTGTGGCATTATTAACTCTCAAAAAGACAAATGTCCCGCTGGGTAGAGACATTTGTTTTGTATTTTCCAGATATCACAAAGTATCTTGTTATTAGCAGATGCCATAGAAACTGAAAAAGGTACGAATATTTCCCCGAAGCCCCTGTCCTCTATCTGACCATTTTTAATTTAAGAATTTTCTGCACTGATTCTGGACTAAAGTTCTATCGTCAGATAATTCTGTCAACAATTTTAAGAAAATAATCCCTCTGATGTTTATTCACAGCCATGAATCAGTTGAGGAAATTTATCAAAACACTAGTTGATGACGTGGCGAACAACAATTGACGCTGTCGCCCCGCTGAAGAAGAAGAAAGTAAATCAAAAGGAGATTAGCCCCAAGGGATGATTCTCAAATACATGTTTCAAAACAGACATCACGGAATCTGGAGAGGAAGTGGCGTTCAACCAACGCCTATCCTGGAAAGATAGCCTGATAAATGACGAGAAAGCTCAAGAAATGCCAGATATTGTATATTATGATTTGGTGCTATGCAGATAACACTGAATTGAAAATTCATTGGATGTTTGATTGGATGTTTTACATTTGTGCTTTTGCGGAGAACTACACAGTCACACAATGGCACCGAGGGTCAGGTAACGTCCTGCATAAGAACATCTTTTAAATGAATTTTATTTTGGATATGGTTCAGAGTGGATTTATTTAATTGCCAAAGGCCAAGCAGATATTATTGTCCGCCTAGATTATTGTGTTTTAAACGAAACAGAGATATGTGTATTACCTGGCTGGGCGGAGGTGGTTCAGCTTGTACTGTTTGGCTCCAGTGCTGCAGCTGCCTGATGACCTCTCTCACCCTGCCGGCAATGTTTTCTGCACACTCCTGCTTCTGCTGCAGAAAAATGGACCTGAGGCTACAGATGGGACACGCAAAGACAACAAACAGGCCGGAAATGAGTCCACGTGATATTCAAATCTTATATAAATATATATGTAGCAAGAGCATTTTCAAATAGACAGTGGTTCTTTGGGTTTTAAGATAACAGGTAGCCTCTCTCATTGATATTGACACTGAAGGTTTTTAAGTTAAAAGCAAATTTCCCATTTTACTGCTTGTTGCAAACTGAGCATTAATATTCCTCCCACTTCTTTTCCTGGTGTATCTTTGAATTGCTCTTAACACGTGACCCTCTATAAGCCCTGAAACCATCATTTCACCTTTCAATGGGAAGAGAAAATAAAGCTGAAGACCAAGAAAAAGTCTGCGTTAGCTATAACAATACTGGGTCGTTATTCTGTTTTTTTGACATCCCTGCAGGACAGGAAGTCAAAAGGCACAATCTGAGGAATGCAACTTTTCTTTTGTGACAGCAGGAATGAGTTAAAGTACCTGTTAAGGTCTTTAACAACTCCATCAATGGTCAAAATGACATCTGCAGGGAGCCTTTCTTGTGTGACGCTGGACTCTCCAATATTCTGCAGGCTGTGAGCTCTTGCGGCCCACGATGAGAGGCTGCTGTCAAAGTCCTGAGAGAGAGGGAACTGTTTTAGTGATTGAAAATATCCTCACTCATTCATGAACCAATTAATTTGGGATAAATCAGCATTTTATCAGATCTTTTAACAACATTACCTGTATAGTGCTCCACTGCTGTTTGAGCTGGATCGTATCAGGGAACATTTCATGGTTCACAAACAGTTTTCCAACATTTCCAGCCAGGTCTTTCAAAGCTGCCTGAACGCAGGAGACCTCTTCCTTCACTTGTGGAACTCTCTGGTTGCTGTCTAGTGCCCTCTTGTGGTTTTGGAGGTTGCTGGCTTGGTCCTCAACGGCAGAACTGTCTGTTGTGGCGTCGTTTAACATTTCAAGTTGCAAAATGTCTTTTTCCAAGTCTGTAACTTCTTGTGGCAACACCTGGAAAGCAGATAATAATGGTTAAACATTTACTCTGAACAGAGTCCATATTTTTATGTAGAAGGAATGTGAAATAAAAGATGAACAATAGCTTATACATGATTTAACAGGTCCGTTTACTTTGTGGATCTCACCTCCAGAGCTGGTGCGTTAGTGACCAGTCCAGCGGAGCTTTCTTTCTGGGCTTGACAGGCTGACATCCTGTTCTGCAGAGATGTCAATCTGCAGTGGCAGTCCTGGAGCAAGTGGCCAAAATGTTCATCATTACTCCGACGTTCCTCGAGGCGGCAACATGCATCCTGTGGACATTTCAGGGAAACTTAGCCAGAGTCTGAGGCCTTCTACAGTTTTCAAAATACTTTTTGTGATTACAATAACCCAGTGGGGTTAGCATTTAGCATTTAATCTGATGTATGAATGCAACTCTATGATTTTAACAGGCAACAAACAGACAAGTGTGTGAAAAT